CGCCAGACACAGGGGAATGGATTGGACAAGGCCTCTGCTCACAGGGAAGCTGTGTTCTAATGGGCGAGACCAGGAAAGCACAGGAATATTCAAATCTGTGGTTACGGAATGGGCAGGTGTCAGGATGGCTGCAGCACCGCAGAGGAGGCACTGGGCTGGGCCCTGTCTGGATTTGTGGGGATTAGACTTTAGGATGCTCAGACAGGAAGTGACCAGCTGGGAGGAGCCATCCTTGCCAAAGGGGGCAGCACCAGGGACCACGGGCAGCCCATCGCCTGGGAGAGATGTCTGAGGGTTCTGAGCTGGTCCCTAGGATGACCAGGCCCCCAAGGGGCCCCAGATGGCCCCTGCCTGTCCTGGAGCCCCCCAACTCCCTTCCCCTGCAGCCTCATGCAGGTCTCTCTCAGATGCATAAGGAGGTGGTGATGTTGGTGGGCGGGGCTGAACATGGAGACCCCACTGATGGCCCCTAGTTGTCTCCTTCTTGGTCATAAAAAAAAGAAGATTCAGGGAAAAAACTCTGGACTAAGCTGTAATTGTCAAATGCTCTTAGGAGGCTTACCACATACATTCCCTAGGCCATTTAGCCCACCTCCTCTTGTTGTTCAGCTAGGTTGTTTCCATGACAACCCTGCCTGGTGGAGGCCTTCGGATTCTGACTACCCGAGGAAGGCTCTGTGGAGGAGGTGGCATCAGGGGTCTTGACCCTTGAGGACCACATCCCGGTTAGGCGCACAGTCAGAGGGAACAGCCCATACAAAGGCCCAGAGGAGTGACACGTTTGGAGGTCGGCGAGGGTCCCTGTACCCAAGAGATACAGGTGCTGGGAGGGGGTCCCTGAGGCCACAAGGTGGTGGTAGCTGGACCATCCATGCAGTTGCTGGGCAGTACCTGGGCCAGAGCGTTTGCAAGCAAAGGAGAAACAGGCCCAGATTTGCATCATGGAAAGTCTGAGCTTCGGGCCAAGCAGCAGGGTGGGGGATGGGCTGCAGCAGTAATTGGGTGGGAGGGGGTGGACGGAGAGGAGGGCCCCCTCTGGGGGTTTTCTGGAAACCAGGGGAAGCACGGGGTAGGGTGCAGTTCTCAGGAGGTGTGACACTCATTCAGGAGGTCCCCAGGGCTCTCTGTGCAGGAGCAGGGCTTCTCCTTGGCCTGTAGGCTTGTTGGCAGTGAAGGAAGGCTGTTGGCTGGAGAAGGAAAAGTCTAGATTCCTCCGTGTGTCCTGCCCAGAGTCCAGTGTGGAGGCCTGCTCCGGCCCCCGGCCCCCACCCAGCCTCCTCCCTCTCCCAGGCCCCAGCGCGGCCAGACGCCGTCCACCCGCGGTGCCGAGAACCCTTTATCAGATAATAAATAAGGCGGCTGGAGCCGTCCGTGTCAACATCTTGGCGGGCCTCGCGGGGCATTGCAGGGGGGGCTGCCCCCCGTGGCTTCCACGTGGTCTTCGAGGGCCGACCCCCTCCACCCTGGCTCCAGTGGGACTGTGGAACTCACCAGCCCCCTCCTCTTTGGGGCCGGTTCAGCCCCCACTGAGGTGCACATGAGCAGGATGGGGCACCCTGGGGCCTGCAGCCTCACAGTCTCAGGGGTGCTAGATCTCTTTGACCTCCTTTCCCCTCTGCTGAGTAGGGGTCTACGTGGGGGCTGGACACCCTGAAGGACAACCGCCCTGAGCCCTGTGAGCTTCCCCCAGGCTTGTGGCAGAGGGAGGGCAGGGAGGACTGCACATCTATCACCCTGTCCCCCAAGGCTGCAGCCTGTGTGCTTGGTGGCAGAATGGCTCACCTAGGATGATGGCGACAGTAGCAGGTCTTGTCCAAGAAAGGCCCTTATCTGGTCAGATAAAGAGTGGGTAACCTGCACTGCTTCCTCCAAAGGACGATTTTCACTTCTTAAGAAGTACAAGATGTTTTCAGATGAGAGGCTTACAGAATTGGCACCCATTTTTAAAGAGCCACGTTTTTCAGTAATGAAGGGAAAACTAACTTTGGCCCCAGCCCCACCAGGAAGCTCAGGGGGTCTGGGCACAGCTAGACACGGCGGCCTGGCTGCCCTGAAGGGTTGAGCTGGTGCAGGCAGCTTGTGTGGCAGCAATGCCCCAACTAAAGGGCCCACAGGATGGACATGCGCCTGCTGTGTACAGGGGATATACTGCTGTGGGCAGGGGATATGCTGCTGAGTAATGGCATCATTTTCCCCAAGACTGGGGAAAGCAGAGCAAGGGGGAGCCACTGGGCATCACCACCCTGACATCCTCTTCGAGGATGCCCAGCCAGGCCGGGGGAGGAGCTGCTGTGCTTCCAGACTGCCCTGGGATGCTGTCAGCCTCCCTGTTCTGCATCTGGAGTGAGGCAATAGGATAAGAGCTTTAAGTGGGGAGAAGGGAGCACTGAAAATGCTTTTTCTGGATCAAAAACCCCAGTGCCCCTGGGTCTCCCTGTTTCTATGCCATGTACCCAGTATTCCAGCTTCCCTGGCCAGTCTGATCTCCCTTCCCCAGGCACCCAGGACAGAGCGCAGTGGAGCTCAGTGGACACTTCCCATGGACGGAGGGAGCTTCCCCGGCTGGAGGAGCTGTGGCCCCCTCCACCCAGGCTCCCTGGACACTGCTCTAGTTTGAAAGACGTGGGAAATGAGGTGCAGGCAGCAGGCAGCACAGATGAAGTGGCCTTTCTTTCCGTCCTGTCGTCTGATAAGCGGCCTGGAGCTGCCCACGCCTGCCAGCATCCCCGGCTCATCCGGTTGTTTATGGCCAGCCGGGCAGAGCCGCGGGGCCGGCAGGCGGGAGGAAGAGCTGCAGGAAGTGGGGTGCCAGGCAGCTATATTCAGGCTCTGGTCCTGACAGCTTCCGGGTCCTGCAGAGAGGCTGGGGAGAAAGGCTTTAACTGAGATGCTCTCCCCTGAAGCTCCTCACGTCCAGAGGTGGGGGCTCAGCCTCCCCCATCCCAGGCTCGTCCTTAAAAATGATGAAAAAGAGGAAGAGGTGGCCTCTTCCTTCCTCTTTGCCAAACACTCCTTCCCAGGACCTCTCTTCCTGGGTGGGGTGTCCAGTCCCCTCCTCCCTATCGCATTCTGCTCACGGAGCTGCGGGCACCTCCAGGAAGACTGCTCAGGTCGCTCAGGGCCCTGCAGGGGCCCTGCGCCTTGTGTCACCTCTCTGAGCCACCTGCCACTTGTCAGGTGCTTTTTCTTTCTCTGGGGAGGAAGGAGATTGGAGCTTGCCCTTCAGAGGAAGGAGTCGGAGACTCGCTGGTCTACACAGGGTGTGGTGCTCACTTGGAGGAGGGGTGCTCCCACCACGACCACCGAAGTGGTGGCCCTGTCTCATGGTTCTCACCTGGTACTCCCACCAACTCCTCTGTCAGCATCACTCCTTTTGCTCTGCAGGGGGATGTTTGCTGCCCCTCCCCCTCCCCTAGAGCCCCAGGCCAGGATAGGGACAGGGGCTCGACTGGGGTCTGCCTGACCTCAAAGTGGTGACTTCTCAAAGTGTGGTCCCTGGGCTGCTCCACCGGTGTCCTGCCCTTGTGCTGGTGGCATCCTCAAAGGCGCCCGGTGTTCAGGGGCCTTATCAAGTCCTTAGGAACCCCTGGCACAACCCAGGATAGCCAGTGAGGTTCTGCAGCCCAGCCCCCGGGGACGTGTTTCTGGAAGGAGAAACGACCTGAATGGATCCCAGCAGGCAGGGGTGAGGCCCAGAACCCACCGGTGATGGGGAGAGGAGAGCAAAATCAAGTTTTTATTTTACATGTTTTCTGATGGAGTCGTTTGTCTTAAAAAAAAAAAGACAAGGTCACGTGGAGACGCAGCTGGTTGAATCTCGAGGTACAGACTCAGGATAAAGGGACACATTCAGGAAGGATGAGTGTTCTTAAATACGAAGGAGACATTTTTACATAGGATAGCATGACAGTCGCTGTTTTAGTTGGTTTATAAAACTTAAGATTTCTGAATCAAATTGGGGGTTGGAGGTGAAAGCTTTCAATTGGAAGATTTTACATTAAAAAAAGAAAGCCCAGTTTCTGGCTTCCATGGAAAAAGCAGAAGGTCTTGTTGGTGAAGGGCAGCTGCAGGATGGGAGGGATGGAGTGGCCCTTCTGCAGGGGGCCCCACTCTCCGCTGCCTCTGCCGTCAGGCTGTGAACCTTTGTCAGCTCCTTGGGCAGAGGTGCCTCTACCCAGCACAACAGCTAATTTGTCGTCCAGCCCTGGGGTGGGGGATGGCTTTGTAAGTGAAAGGGGGTGTTATTGGTGATGCTGCTGGGACAGACCCAGATGAGCCGGGACCTGTGGTCACCCCACCATCGGCCCTGAGAGTGCCCCTGTGGGTCAAAGCAGGGGTCCCAGGTACCTTGACGTATAAAATGGTCACAATATAGCCACAGATTCAGTCAGAACAAGGAAGGCTCTTTACTGCCCTGTCTGGGGAAAACCATACAAATAAATACCAGTCCACGATGACTACAATGTGATTGGCCCCTTGGGGTGGCATCCTGGTACAGTGCACAACCTGGCCATCTGTCCCTGGCTGTCCCATGCTCCAAGGAGGGCAAGGTCTCCATGTCGTATCTCTATCCATCAAACATGGGAAGTGGGAAGCCTGAAGGAGGCCAGGGAAGCCCCGTGTCTGGCAGCCCCCTCGGCTCTCGCTGCTGCCTGGCCTCAGTCGTTTCACCTGTAATCTTGGTTTTACAACAGGAAGATGTTTTTTCCTGCTGCTACAACCTGTAAACATGACGATGGCAAGTGTTGACGACGGAATTCAAGTGGGGGCTGGGAGCCCTGGGTCAGCCAGAGCCTTGCACATCACTTGAAGGTCCCTTGCTGTCCAGGGAGGGGGCTTGAGCCCTCCTCGCATCTACATAGGCCATGGCCGCCACGTTGAGGGACACCCAGCTCTTCCAGGTCCAGCTGGCTCCAGTCTCTTCTAGCAGCAGGCCTGGTAGTCTCCTTTTGTGTTGGAGTAAAGAGGCAGCGAGATGGGTCCATGGGGTGCCCAGGTACCTAGGCTAAGGCCAGTGCACACCAGGCCTCCTGGCGCAGGGCCCCGCCAAGGCCAGCCTGCTGGCCCAGGGCTGCAGAAGGCAAAGCAAAGTCCTCAGGCTCGAACTTGAACTCCAAGTGGCTGGGGGCCAGGGGGTCATCCACGTGTGCAGAGCCCTGCAGGGAGGATGGGCCATGCGTGAGCCTTGGCAACAGTTGGCTGGCCCACCTGAGGGTGGGAGCCCTTCAACAGGAAGGTCTGCCCTAAGGGGCTTCCTCAGCTCCTGGAATGGGGTGGGCACTCCTTGTGAGGAGCGATGTGATAACCTCGGAAGGGTTCTCGGTCAGCGTTGGCCACAGGGCACCCCCCGGCTCCATCGGCCAGCTGTGTGTCCAGCCCCGAGTTTCCAGGAGGGGCCCATGGGTGCTCTGACCTGGCCAAGATGCCAGGGATCCTCCTGGAAGAGATTGGGAACCAGCTCTGCGCACCCCACCCACCCCGTCTTCCTTACCTGGGAGGTGACACTGGGCCCGGGGCATGACGGGGATGCCAGGCTGGGCTCGGGCTTCAAAGTGGCTGCTGAAACCTCTGGGTCAGGGACAGAGGCTGGTGGGGAGGCTGTGGTGTGCCCTGCAGACCCTGGCGGGGGTGGGGGAAGATGGGGCATTTATAGACACTGCAGATCTGGTAACATGGGGTGGGGGTGGATGTGGCCTCCTCCACTGGAGCCTCTGCCCCACGCCATGAACTCAGGCCACCCCAACCCCTCCCCCAGCCAGAACCATCCCAGGGCAGCGGCAGGGACTCGCACTTCAGGAAGACGATGCTTGCACCGAACATGTGAATCCTTAATGGTGGAGTGTGAAGCACCCAGAGTGATTCCCCATGGGAGGCCTCCCCCAGCCCTGGCCCCCGCACCTGAGGAGCCCTTGGTCTTGACAATGTTCTTCGGCTTCCGTTTCCGTGTCTGGATGCTCTCTTTCTTCATTGCCAGGGGCCGTGGTACCTGGCAGGGCGGCAGGGGTGGATGGCTAGTCACTGTCTGCGGTCACACCTGTGGCCTCTTGCACGGCCATCTGCTTGGATCTCAGCCCTGCAGAGCTGGTCACCGCTGTGGCCCTGTTTGGGGAGTTGCTAACCCCCAGGCTCAGGGCTTTTCTTCAGGCAGGGTGGGGCGAAGCCTGTCCCACCCCAGCCTCCCAGGGCTGGGGGCTGGAGGGTCCAGAAGAGCCCTGGGGGTGTCTAGCCTCTGTCCCAGGCTGAATGGCTGTAGGGAAGCTGCAGTGAAGCTATGGTTTCCGAGAGCCCGTCTATACCACCAGTCTAGCAGTAACATGTGTGCATGGTATGGGCAGTGAGGCCACTTGTGTACAGGCGTGTACCCGCTCAGCCCAGGCCCCACCTGATCGACACCCTACCCGGTTCCTCAGCCCCGTCTCGGGCTGGGGGTGCACTTGTGCCGGCAGCCCCCCCATGGCCCTGCTCACCCCGTGCAGCTTCATGTAGAGCCCGCAGGCGTTGCACACTGGCTCGCCGTCTGCGTTGCGCCGCCAGAGGGTAGTGGTGGTGGTGTGGCAGTTGGTGCAGCAGAGGCCAGCCCGGCGGGATGAGGACTGTGGATGGGAGGTGGGGTGAGCGCGGCAGGTGCAGCCGAGTGGGAGGATGGACACTGGGCTCAGGGCTGACCAGTTATGGGGTTGGGTATGCAAGGGGCTGGGTGAGAGGCCTTTGGGTGCTAAAGTCCTGAAGCTGCCCAGGATTCCTTGTGGGCAGGAGCTTTGGCCTAGTGCCCAGGAGCCCTGGGACAGGTCACTTCACCCTTCTGGGCTTCAGCTTCCCTATCAAAAAAATTGGGGTGACAGCAGACCTACCTAGGTCCATTGTGGGGTCAGGATCTTGTGAGGAGTGCAGGACACCCAGGCTGCTGGGTTTCCATTGTGGCCTCTTTTTAACCAACCCTGGGCCTTCACTCTGTATTTCTGTGGTGGAACAGCACCCCTAGGGGCCACAGGGCCCCCTCAGGTCAGACCCCAGACTGAACATTCAGGGGGCCTGCCTCTGAAGATTTGGGGCTCTGAGCACATGCTCAGCTCAACTGCTTGTACCAGACAGTGGGCAGTGGGTGTCCACATCTGCCCTTGCTGCTCACTGACCTGGGAGGGAGAGTGGGGCCTGTCTGGAGACCCCCACCAACCATTCCCAAGAAGACACAGACCTGGAAAAGCCTATCTCCTCCCTCCCCAGGTTGGGCATCTGTCAGAGGTTCAGGGAATCCGCCCTGTTTAGTCTGAGGTCTGGCCTCCGATCTCCAGGGCAGGACTCTGCCTTGGGATTTGGGGCACAAAGGCCAAGACAGAGAAGGGACGAGGCCTAGGAGGCTCCGGAGGAGGGCAGGGCCGGAGCTCCTGGCCTGGCTGGAGAGACCCCACCCTCTGGCCGGTGGCCTCCAGGCCACAGCTGTATGGGGCCTGACATCCAGCCTGGCAGGCATCACCAGTGGTCTCCCTGGGGGCGTAGGGGTGGACCTGCGCCCTGGTTGGAGTGCAGAGAGATGGTGGCCGGCCTGGGCCCAGCAGAAGTGGAAGGTCAATGGTGGCCGCAACCCCAAGGCAGATCCTGGGACAAGGCCCTGACACAGGAGCCCCAGCCCCCCAGTCAAGTGGCCCCCAGCCTGACACCGCCCTGGAGAGCTGGCAACCACATCCTGGCCTTGTCTAGAGAGCAGTTGCTTTTACTGAACACTACTCGAATCTCTCTCCTCCCTGCCCCCTTTCCTCCCTTCCATCTGTCTCTCGGCTGCAGGGAGCTATGCCCAAATGGAGGCGCAGCACCCCCCGGAGCCCACTGTCCCGCATGAGGCAGCATCTCCTCCCATCCCTGCTGCCGCCCCCCAACGCCCCACCACGGATCCAGAATCTCCTGAGCCCCCAGTCCATTCATTTTCTTAATATGGGAGAAGGTTCCTGGGACCCCCCCAAGGTTCCTAGATTGAACAAACATGCAAACAGGATGCCCAGTTAGAATCGAATTTCAGATAAACAGTAAATATTTTCTGTAAGTACACTCTATGCAATATTTGGGACACATTTAAAATGCTATTTGCTGTTTGTGTGAAATTCACACCTAACCGTGCATTTAGTAATCAATCTGGTCACCCTGACCTACCTTCCCGGGCTACATCATGGTCCCTTACTCCTGATGTGCCTTCCGACCAGGAGGACCATGGCCTGAGGCCCCTCCCCTCCAAACCAGCTGGGACCCTCAGGGGCTCTTACCAACTTTTGCCCCCTTAGAGTTCACACAGCCATGCCACATTCCAAAAAAAAAAAAAGTTGACATCACTGAAACTCAGGGGTCACAGGAGTGCTGTCTCCTGGGCTGTCTGGCCACTTCCTGCTAAAATCCTTCCTATAGGAACACTATCGCAAGGGTGTAAAGAGACCCATGTGAGGCCTTCATGCCAGCACTGTTTTCAACAGCACACCACACAGCTGCACACACATGGGCACCACTGCAGACACACGCGCCCCCACGTGTCCCCCAGAGTTGCCCATGTATCTAGGAAGCAGCAGAACTATGCGTACCAACTCGGGTGGTGGGGGGGGCTCAAACTTCCTCAGGTGGACTGAGCTCAGGTGGTGGGAACTCACCACCTGGACCCTGGGGCTGCAGCGAAACCTGAAAGTCAAGTTTGAACATTTCTCCAGTGAGCATAGACTAAAATCCATAAACTGGAAATCAGATTAAAATCAAGAAAATGGGTAAAAAGAATGGCCTTGACAAAATTCTCAGACGTGTTTGTTGATTATCTTTTTCCATCCCCCCAGTGCCTGCGTCTTACAGGGGGTGGGGAACTGAAGCTCAGACAACAGGGTCCAGGGTGCGGGGGTGGTCCCAGGGTGGACAGAACCTCCTCCCTTGGCTGAACACACCCCGTGGCCACATCCCCGGGGCCATCTGCGGACACCCAGAGCCTCCCTCTGTCCTTCTGCATTCACGGCTAGGCCAGGCGGCCAGGCCTGGCCACTCTCAGGGCCCCCTAATTGCTGGGCCTCTCCAGGCTGCGTTTTCTTTTTCTCTTTCAGTCAGTTCTTTTCAAAAGAAGTGGAAATTCAAAGCCAGTGGCAGAGCTGGCCTGAGTGCCAGGTTCCACAAGGATCTAGGCATCCAGAGGAATGAGGGTAGGGGGCAGCTGGAGCCAGGTGGGGGTGCTGGCAGGGATGGGGGGCTCTGGAGAGGGTGTTGGCAAAGTAAAGGCTGCAGGTGGTGGAGCAGCAAAGATGCTGCCATTTCAAACAGGTCCTCCGCGTGCTCTTGGCGGGGAGACCTGGGGACACTTAGCCTGATGGACTTGTGATGGACGTGGGAGCCCCCCCGCACTTGGGGCAGCATGTGCTGAGGATTCAAGGCTGTGCAGGAAGGCTCACCCGGGGCTGGTGAGTGTCCCAAGGAAGCTGGGCTGTCCATGGCACAGCCATGTCCTGGAGCTGGGGCCAGAACCAGCCTCAGGCTCACAGGCCTGCCGTCCTCAGAGTTTGGCTTCTGGGCTCTGATGTTCAGGGGTCAGGCCAGGACGAGTGGCACTCGCAGAGACCCTGGCCGCAGGCACACATCAGCAAAGCCACTGCGACAACCCCCCACTACTCGTCTTCACTGACAGAAGCCTTGGGTCCAAGGTGTAAGCCCCACCCTGCGACCCAAGATACACACAGGAGGCAAAAGGTAGAACAGCCAGGGGCTCCTGCTGGGAGGTGGGGGATGCACACTTGTCATCGTCACATTCCTGTATTCTTGGTGACAAGCTTCCAGGATATTTGGAATTATTTAAAGGAGGGCGAGACCAGCTCTTCCTGAGAGGGCCCTCCTGAGCCATCACTTCTGCTCACACTCCAGGGAGAGTGAGGCCCCAGAGTGGGGGCAAGCCTGGGGTGACCAGCCCAGTACCTCCTTGGCCAGGAGCACATGGGCGGGGCTCTGGCCTCGGGACTCTGAGAATCTTGGGGTTTTCACATGGAGCCTGGCCCTGCAAGGACCAGCCACCCGGTGAGCGGTGAGGCCACTCTGAGGGACAGGCAGGCACCCTGCAGCCAGTGAGAGGAGCCCCCTAGGAGCCTGCTCAGGGAGACACGGGGAGTACAGGGGCCATGAGGATGCCCTGAACCTCAGCACCACTTGGCAAACACTTCCTGGGTGTGTTTTACATTCAGGTTCATGTGGGCCTGGACTCAGGGCAAGCAGAATGCTCACCCTCCAGGCCCTGCGGCCTCAGGGAGATGAGCAGACATGCAGGAATTCCCCCACCCTAGATGGCACCCCAAAGCTAATTATTTCATGTCCCCAGACTTGGAAACAGAGGTTTCACCAGGCCAAGCGCCTGTCTGTCCTCAGCCCACCCATGGCGCTGGCCACGGCTGTCCAATTTCCCTTTCCAGCAAGTAGTGGGCAGTTCCTGAATTCAGCTCGCAGGGGGCTAGACAAGAAGACCCAGGGCAGAGTCAGGAGGCTCAGCGTGAGTGGGGCATTGTGGGAGCTCGAGGCCACAGTCCTGGTCTGAGCCTGGGGTTGCCGCTAGCCGGCTGCGAGTCCAGGGAAGCCCCTGGTGGTCACCTGGCTGTTGTGAATGTAGATGCCTCAGCGTGCAGATGGTGGCCTCTGCCTGCCCACCCCCAAGTTAGGAATTTTCTGCAGGGAGGTGAGCCCTGCAAGGGATGAGGTGGAGAGGATAGCCCACCTCTCCTGTGTACTCGGCACCCGGTTCAGGGCTGACCCCAGAAGAGCAGAGGGAGTCAGAAGAGGGAGCCAGCCTGGGTCACAGTCCCCTAGGATCCTCTCCCTTGGCCTCAGTTTCCCCTTCCCGGAGGCCACAACAGACATTGTCTGGGCTGTGGGCATGAATACAGGCAGACACAACAGTGGGGGTGCTGTGAACTCTGAGGGCGACCCTCTCTGTGAGTGGCACCACACGGGTGCAGAGAGGTGGGGGACCCACAGAGCCTCCGAATTCAGGCCAGATCAGAGGAAGAGAAACAGCAGCTGCCCTCAAGCCGCTGACCGCCTCAGTTCTGCCTCCTGCCCGCCTGTTTTGGGGCCTCAGAGCGTCCCGCCCCGGTGTCACCATAGCTGGGGCTTCACGTTTCCAGTAAAGGCCTGTGACTGACCGCCCCGTAGCCGGGGCAGGCCCATCCCACGGCATTAGCCATGGAAAGCCCTTCCACACTCCAGGGCCTGACACACCAGAACCTGTAGGGCTCCCACAAGCCTTAGCCCGGACCTGGGAAGAAGCCCCTGCGACCCCCCGACTTTGGACAGATGGAATTACTGACAGAATTACTTGACCATCAAAGTTTGCCTGTGAAACGGCAGGGAACAAAGCAACTTGAAACCTTTACACGGCTTCTGGGGACTCTGCCCTGCTGCGGGCAAAACTCGGGCGCACAGTCCCCTACTCGCTAACCAGCCATACAGCAGAGAGAAGCGAAAGTGAAAACGAATCTCCCCCAGCGAACGACCGCACACCTGGTCTGGACCCATCCTTACAGTATCAGGGGCAGCGGTCCCAGTGTCCCTTCCCTGTAAGAGTCACTGTCAGCCAACAAAGCCAGCATCCAGCGGCCACTTTTCCCTCCAGTCCCATCTGAGGGCCAGGTCATCTTGCCTCTCCACCGCCCCACCACCTGGCAGCCCAAAGTCCCCAGAGTCACAAGGCTGAGTCCCCAGCCGGCGCACAGTGATCCCCGGCACAGGAGGTTCAGTGTTGAGCTCAGAGCAGCCCAGCCCCTTGGGGGAGACCCCACAGACCCTCTGGGGGAGCAGGCCCCAGCACAGGGGGACCGAGGCAGTGGGCCAGGTGCTGTCATCCTGCCCGAGCCTCCCCTCCGCATCCCGGAGCTCCACTGGCTCCCAGGCTGTGATCGAGGAAGACCGGCCCGGCTGCCCGCACTCACCAGGCGCTTCTGCGGCCGCACGAGGGGCCGGTTGACACCGTTCATCTTGTGGTAGAGGCCGCAGGCGTTGCACAGGTAGTGGCCGGTGCCGTCGCGGCGCCACAGCGGCGTGGACAGGGCCCCGCAGTTGACGCACTCACGCCCCTCGCCCGGGAACTCCTCCAGGAGCTCAGCTGCTGCGGGAGCAAGGCGGGCGGCCGCTGGACGAGGCTCGGGCCCTTCCTGGGAGCCGCTGAGCCGCCGCGTTCGCACCACCTTCTCCTCTCCTTCCCTTTTGTGCCTTTATTTTGCTAATTTACTTTGTCTAACTTTCTTTTTAAGTTTAAATTCACACACAGCGATGTTTGTGCCAGATTTAAGTCACTCGTCAGGGATGCTTTATAAGTGGGGGGAGAGTTAAAAAAATGCAACCCTGGGTAGGGCAACGGGAACTAACTGCCCTACTCGGAACAGGGTCCAGCATCACTAATTTTGACCAGTGGGGAGGCAGGAGCGTCTTCACTGGCAGAAGACCCACGCCGGTCGATCAGAGGGGCAGTCGGGGATCGTGGGATCCTACAGAGACTGCGGTGCCTTCACTGTCAGCTTTCATGGTCTCGGCACAGTCCTCCCACTTGAGCAGCACACACGGCCACAGCGGCGCGGCCTCCAGGCCCCTCCAGACCTGGCCGGGCGCTGGCGACACTTGGGCGGCTGGATCGGGTGGGGGCGGGGCGGGGATCAATCATCGCCTGGCCGGGGGTGGGCGCCAGGCGTGGGGCGCCTCGGCGACCGGGTCAAGTGGATCCCGCTTCCTGCGCCGTTGCTGCCAAGGAGCTGAGGAGGAGTGTAGGCTAAAAGACCGAAGCAGCAAAAAAAAAAAAAGGAATGGCCCTTGGTTTTGGGGAAGCAGGGGTGAGAGTGAGTCGGTGGCGCCCACTACTCAGAAGGGGGGTGGGGAGCAATTCTCAGCTTTACAGGTCTGGAATCCGATCACTAAAATTTAGATCCCAGAGAGGGACTGGAACTGGGTTTCAAATTAGAATATGTAAACATTTTAGAACAGAGACGAATGTGGTGGTTTACTTAAATAAACGAGAATTTTGAGCGTTAAAAAAAAAGTCATTTCCCCAACTTTTCATAAAAACCATTTAAGACATAGGCTCTAAATGGTATGATCCCAGGATACTGGTTTGGATGAACGAAAAGTGAAAACACAGATCTGTGTATAAAGGATCTCAAGACCGGGTTTTCATCTTGGTGTGGGTGAGGTGCCAGCAGCTGCGGGTTTCCACCCACGTTTACACGTTCCCGGGGGTCTGGGCCTGCCCCAAGCTGGTGTCCCACCTGGCTGAAAAAGCCCTGATTCTGGAGAGGGGGCATTTCGCAGGGTGCGGGTTTGCATCCGGGTACCGCCAGCACCCAGGACCCTGGTCAGTGGAGCCAGTTCCCAGTCCCGCACTCACCGAAGGTGGCCCTGCGGCCAGGGAGGCCAGCCGGGAGGCCCTGTAAGCTGTGCAGGACGCTGCCGTCCAGGGGTCCAGAAGTCCAGGACGGTGCCACTTCCGCGCTCATGTAGGCAGGGTAGGCTGTGGGGTATGAGGAACTCACGGGCCTCCCAAGCGCCGCTGGGTACTGCTCCCGAGCCAGCATCGCGCCCTGAAAGGCGCCGCTGTCCCGGGTCCCAGTGCCGCCTCCGGGTCCCGGGGAACTGTGCGCAAAGGGGAAGGCAGTGGTCCCCGGCGGCGGAGCGGCCGGTGGGTGGGGGCTGCCGGAGCCAAACGCTGACGAGTCTGCCGCAGCTGCCTGCGCCCAGCTGGGGTGCGCCGTGATTGCGGGAGCCTGCGGTCCCGGTTCGCACGCCGGCAGGTAGGGCAGCATGGAGGGGACCCGCGCGGGCGGCACGAACACCGGGGAGCCGGCGCCCGGCGTGTGCAGAAAGGCGCCTGAGTCCCCGTAGGCGGTCTGACTGGGGTTCGGGGCCAGCGCCAGGCTCTGGTACATCTTCCCTGGCGTGGCCTTGACCTGCAGACTAGAGGGACGGGCGTCCAGGTCACGGCCACTGTGCCCCACAGGTGCTGTCGCTCGGGTCGCGCTTTTGGATCCCCAGCTGGGAGGTTCCTGGGGCGGGGAACCCGCGGGGAAAGGATAGCCGGGGGCAGGGTCGGCTCGAGCGGCCCGTGGGGCATCCGGGCGCAGCCATAACGCGGAGCTCACCTCTTTCACAGCCGGGGCTTCCGAGGTTCCCAGGTGGGCTCAGTGGTCGCAGAGAAGGAGAAACCGGCGGGTCCGCAGGGCGCAGGCTCTGGGCTCTGGGAGAAGGAGCCCGGCTGGGTAGGGGCGAGGGATCGGGCCCGGCTGCGGTACTCGCCCGCTGGTCGTGGGGATCCGAAGGCGCGAGGGCGCGGCGGGCGGCGGGCTGCAGTCTGGAAGCCGGGGTCCTTGCGGTTTCGCGACCCGGCTCCTCGGCCGCCCCTCGGCACAGCTCCGCCCGGACCTGGCCCGCCCCCGCCGCGCCGCCCCTTCCCTCCCGGGGGCCCTCCCCTCCCTCCCCGCGGGGTCAGAGCCAGGGCTGCGGCCTCGGTGCCACGTGACCGAAGCAGGCCGGGCGCTCGGGGCTCCGCGGGAAAGGCGACCGGACGCACACGGCACGGGGCAGACAGCGCTGAGTCCTTGCCAACGCGGGCAACACGAACCAGCCAGGTGCTCGGCGCCGCCTACCCGGAGGAGCTCCGACGCCGAGACTTCTCTAAATGTGTTAGGGCTTTTGAAGCCCTCCTTCCTGATGGGTGTTAATGGCGGGCTGCCGCTAAGGCTGGTTTAGTGGCTGGGGCTGCGGTGGATGCGTCTGTGACCCTGGCTTTGCAGCGATCATGGATATGGTGGTGCGCGGACTCCTCATTGCGCCCTTGGTCTGGGGCCCTTAGCAGGCATCTGGCTCCCAAAGTGACAGCCCAGCCCAGCTCCGTTCCCTTCCATGGCCACTGCACCCGCGAAGTCCTGTGGGAGTCCCGCAGCTTCCTCAGTGACCAAGCAGGGCCACTGTCCCCTCTCATTCCCTGCTGGGGACCCAGGTCGGGCTGGCAGCCTCTGTCTGGAGGCACTTCCATTCCCCAAGGTCCTTGGGGACTTTCACTGTGTGGGGAATTCTCAAAGAGTCTCCTTAAAGCACTAGAAATGTGGGAAGGGTGTGAGGCCACTCGGGTCTGGAGGTGGCCACTGGCACTCCCTGGGTGAGCCCCAAGGTGCCAGCACCCTGGTGAAAGCGGCCTCCGAGCAGCTTCGCTAACTGATGACCCAGCCTCCCACCAGGACGTGCTCTCCAGCGACCTTACAGCAGGCGCTGGACCACCAGCCCTGGGAACAGGGCTCACTGGAGGGCCTTTGGCTGCTGCACTTGGGACAATGAATGTTTTTCGTTTGCAGAAATGGGCCATCACCTCCACCATTGGTCCAGGTGCTCTCCACCTGTGGAGGGGTGGGCACTCGCTCATCTTCTTCTACTCCAGCACAAGACTAGAATTTGGGGTGCACATCGGGTCATCTAAGGCCCCTGGAAGATGGCAAGCAAGGGCTCCACACTCACCTGGGCGGGGGACCCCATGGAAGTTTCCCCACAGGCTCTGGATTCTTCAAAAGCCTAGGCATGTGCCATTGGTAGGGGGCTTGGGGGTCTTCATTATCCCCTTTACTCTTCACTCCCAGTGCTTCCCTCACACTCACCCATACCAGTCTCTGCCTCCTCTCCCACCCTTAGGGCCCCTGGGTCCACACCACCCCAACGGGCTTCCCTGGTAACCACTCCCCACGCGCTCCCGCCTGTCCAAACCAAACCCTCCTCACCCTATCCCCTGCAGACCCGGCCAGTGGATCTCATCTTTCTCTCTTCCGCAGTGGGCGGGGCAGGAGAGGGGGCGGGGGTCCTGGAAACGCACCTTGCCAAGGCCCCCAGGGCTCTTGGATGCACATCTCCCTGGGGAGGTTCACCAGCGGCAGGGAAGCCAGTAGAACCCCTGCCGTCTCTGCGGCCCTCACTGCCTCCCCCTCACATTGGCTTGGGGAGGAGTTAGTGTGACTGGGTCCTTTGGTGTCTCCTTGGGACTCGCATTCCACTGGCACCAGACAGAGGCCAAGGGGGAGCCAGGCGGGGGGAGCAGAGGGCTGGGGCCCCAGGGTCTCAGCTGCAGCAGAGGAGGCTGTGGAGCTGGGTGATGGACCCTGAAATCAGGGCTACTGGGGTGGGTGAAAGAGACAGGAGATGGAATTTCTACCTGGAGGTCAGTCCTGATTAGCCCTCCCTGAGCTCCCTCTAGGAGCTAACTCTAGGTTAGCTCTGGGTTCACTCTGGGAACCTAACCAGAGTCAGCCTGGGGTCTGGTGGAGTGGGGACCCTACCCATATCTCTCAACCCGGGAGATGAGAGAGTTGGCTTGTTAACCCCCTGGTGACCAGGCAGAGCCGAAATCCATGATTCCAGGTCCTACAGGGGCTGCATGAGGGGCCTTAGGCAAAGTGAGGACCAGGGCCTGAGTGGCTGGGGGATTGGGTCCTGGGGTGGGACAGGCCCTCCCAGCCAGCTGGACTCTGGGGGTCATTTGTGCAGCAGCTGCCTCTTCCCAGCCCAGAGCTTGGGAACCCCTCACTCAGACACATGCATCAGAAAGGAAAACAGACCTCCTGGGGAAATAAGGAGGGGGCGGGGCCTCCGGGCCAGCCCCCAGGAGGGCCTCAGACCTCTCCCTGGGTGCCTCAGGGCCACCCTGGGGCAGTGCCCAGCAGCCAGCCCCTTAGGGCGCAGCTAGCTGTTTGGGTCATCTGCCAGAGCTCTCCCTCCAACCCCAGCCTCCCAGGGTCTGCCCTTCCTATAGGTGGGGACTCAATAAGGAGCCCCGGGCTGGCTGGGTGGGGCCTGGGGTGGGGACAGGCTGGGAGGTTAGAGGAATTCTGTGTCCTCCCCCAGGTATTCAGATAAGCCCCTGCCCCCTCCCTTCTGGGTAGGAAAAACCAGTTCAAAGTCAGCCCCACCTCTGCCTTCTGCACTCTGAGGCCCCTCTTCCCTGACCTGGGGTGTCTGCTGACTCCTCCTGCCCCTTGGGGAGAATGAGGTGGGGTCCAGGTGGAGGGTTCCAGGGCCTCTCCAACCCCAGCAGGAACTTCAAAACTCAGCATGGTGAGGCAGGTTGGGGTGGGGACTCTCCAGAGGTACAATGGGGAGGGGCTGGGGGGCCACGTGGGTGTACAAGTCACTGTGGATACATAGGTGCGTGCACCTCTCCTGCAAGGAGGGCTGAGCTCCCGAGCCCAAGGCCGCCTTGGGCTGTCTGCCCTTCTGGGGAGCTCAGAGCTGGAGGGAGGCGCAGCAGCTGCAGGGGGAAGGGCCCCCCATTGGCACCACTGTCACTAGGTTTCCTGAGGGTCTCCCACACACCTGACTGGGCCCGGAGCTTCTGTGTTTTGACTCTAAGGCTCACGGCTGCCTGGTGAGTGGGTGCGATTCCTGTGAGCGGTCACGCCACGTCATAGATGAGAACCAGGGCCAGGCCTGGCGGGGGCCAAAGGCTGGAACCCCACTCCGGGGAACTCTTGGACCTGCTCTGCTCTGTCCACTGCGTCTCCTCAGCCCTTGCTGTCCGCCTGCTCCTCTGGCCACTGCCCCCAACGCTGGTCCATGACTGGCTCTTCTAGAGCCTGCATTTCTAGGTCCTCAGCCCTTAAAGTGTCCATGTGGTTGGGTGGGGGCTTCATCACTCACCCTGTCCCCAGGCTTAGTGGAGGGAGACCCCGGCCTTACACACAGCTTGCCCTGAGAATGACCCAGCTGGGCCTTGAGGTGGCTGCCGAGAAAAGGGGAGCAGAAAATGGAAATAGAGCTCACGGGCGCTGTGTCATTTTTGTAACCCAGTCTGGACTTGCAGGCCTTCCCGGCTGGGTCACCAGACAACCCTCATGAGAGTGAGGGGTCCTCCGGGGAGGGACTCGGGGAGCTTGTTCTGGGGGAGACATAATCACACTTGTGCAAGTCATCTCCCCGTCTGTTGTCGGGAGCAAGCCGGTGGCTGTAGAGATGGTGAATGTCCTGTCACATGGTGAGCTGTTTTCCACCAGCTTCCAGGCCCCGGAGTTCCCACAGAGGGAGGGTATAGAGCCACAGCGCAGGCACATGGACAGAGAGACAGCCGGCTGTCTGACCCCTGGTAGGGGGGTGATGCAGGGATCTCTGCCCCCCACCCTGCCTGGGTTCCAGTGAGGATGGATATGTGGACAGATGGCTGGTGCAGGCAGCCTCCTTCCGTCTGTTACCTGTAAATTACTTCACCTGAGTGACATCATGCTGGGGGCTGGTAACCAGGCTGTGCCTGGTCATAAAACAGCCTGACATGGTGATGGACAGCTGCACATCAGATCCGCTGGCCCGACCTTGAACAAGGTCATGCAGGCCCCTGGCCTTCCATGGCGGTGGTTCCCTGACTTGAACGAGGTTGTGACCCCTGGGCCCTCTGTGGAAGTGGGTCCCTGACTTGAAGAATGAAAAGCAGAGGCTGCTATGGGATTTATGCTTGGCTGTCATGTGGTACACATGGCTCCCTGGCCTTTGACGGCCCTACCAGCAGCAGGCTTCCCCCTTGTCCTTCCTGGGATCTCATTTTGCTGCCAGCAGCTCAGGATTCAGGATGGTTGTTTATCTCCCCCCTCCCCAAAGGGTTAACACCCTCTGCTAAGCAGGGCAGCCAACACCCCCCTCCATGTCCTGCTGGACGGTTTCGCGGACATTGCAGATGCATAGGGAGCTGTAACCACACATTAGAAGCAGCCCAGGTGGTTGGGGGTCTCAGGAAACTAACCTGCAACTCTGTCTCGGGGGCCACCCTGGGTGAAGGGACGGGTCCTCCACTGGGGTTGTCTGTCCCCCACGCCCTCCCCAGAGACACCCGTTCCTGTTATGCCTTCCCAGAAATGCACTGAGCTCATACAAGAAAACATGTGTGCAGCACCTGCACACACGG